GAGCCAGATTGGCTGAACAATCATATTTCTAGCACAGACCCATAGAAAATCAGGCATATTGTGTGGGACAAACAAATTCCAATTAAAGAATAGATTTCAACGTTGACCTAATTATCTAAGGTCCAGCTCTCATTTTTAGGGGATGAATCCAGACAAGCAAAATAAATTCTTGGAGACAAAACGACTCTTTCTTATGTGGAAAATTACTTCCTCTTTCTCCATGAAGCCCCAGATGGTCAGAAAAGAAAAGCCCAGTGGACTATTTTTTATTCCATTTGAACCTTAAAATATCATTTCTCTAAGGACAAAATCGACTTCAAGGTGTCCATACAGTGTGTTTCTCTGTGGTCAGGAAAGGTTTTCTTTCAGGAAAACAGGAGCTCAACTCAGAAAACAGTCAGCACAATATCTCAGGCACCAGTAAAAATCGCTTGCTCCCGAGCCAACTATTAGGTGAAAGAAGAGTAGAGGATTTAAGCAAAACGCTCACAGCTCCGTGTTAAGCTGAGCTGTTCTAATCTAAGTATTCATGAGAAACCATTTTAGCATTTACAGGGTGGTGGGAGAGAAGCGACTACAGTACCCGTAATATAGTACGGATCTGTCACATGATCTAATTACAGAAATGAAAGCAACCCAGGAATTATGTGGTCTATTCAAGCCTGCGGGGAGTACGAACAAAGAATATAATTAAACATCAAGCCTGTTGATTAAACAATTACTATTTAAAGCAGATATAGATTTAAAATTAATTTGCTTCTGCATTCTGAGGATTTGGGGACTGAGATAAACAGTGTTTGAAGTTTAATTATCCGTGTGCAAAATGAAGGGGCTCATTTCGTTGGGGTTCGCATGGCAGCGCATTTGGGTTAGTGAAAAGGCAAGGATCCGGCTCAGCTGCAAGGGTCGGCACTGCCAATATGTGTGATGCAAGGGAGCAGGGAGGCTCGCTCAGCCTAACCCCCCACAGAATGGGGTAATACCACAGGAGAGATTGGGCAACTGCGTATTAATATTTAAATGAACACTAGCTTGAAGTTTACCATACTATCTCCAAAAGAACAGAAGAAGGCCAGCCAAAGAGTTCCAGGCGCCACGGCCGTGAGCCGCGGGGAGTGGAGACCTTCACGCATGTTTGAGCAAGTAGGACATCTACCTGCCAGCTACTCTGAATGGAGCGATTCTTATCACAGGCCACATGTACAGTGTCCCAGGGCAGAATGGCAGGACCGAGGGGTGGCAGGGGCGAAAGCGTGAATTGTCGTGAAAGACAATCAACCGCAACTAGAAAATTCCAAAGTTAGGAAACGACTGTGGAGACGCAGGGAACTGAGTCTGCATTAACACGCGGTGATCAAAAGGCACAGGGACAGCATTTCCAGACCTCAGAGCCATCTCACTGGCTATCATGAGGGAGGCGTGCACAGTGACCCGGCTGTGCCCCACGGCCCCAGGACCGCACAGTGCTGCACAGTGTGCTGGTGAAGAGAATGGGTTTCAAATGGGACAAGCTGAGTATAAGGCCAGCTCTGCCACATTTTCATTTTATGACCTTCACCAAGCATTTGGCTCCCTGAGTTCCATTTTGTCAGTGAAAGGCTTTCACTCTTTCCTCATTGGGTGGCTGTAAATATTAAACACGGCAGTGAGGGCACACCTGAGTGTCCCCTCCCCCTAAGAGAGCCCCTTCAGCCACCCAACCCCGCGCCATGGCTTTCTGGGTGACGATGAATCTCTTGTCCCCCACCACTGACACCACCACCACCTTCTCCCCACTCCGGCCCCCCGGGGCCTTTTCTGCTGTCCTCTGCTCTCTGTCCTTGGCTGAGCCTCTGCCTTGAAGCACTCTGCCTTTCCCTCTTCATCTAGGCTATCCATTCCACAGCTTTCACCTCATCTTATCTTCAATGGTGGTTAGAAGCTCACGCTCTGAAGACAACACAGCAGCCTCAACACCCGAACTCCACCCCTACCGTCTGTCCAACTTTGCCCACCTAAGGCTCAGTTTCCTCCTGCGAGATGGGTGTGAGTACCAGTGACTCTAACCTACACTGTTGTAAGAGCCACATGAATTCATACATGGGACGGTCTCAGCACAAAGCCTGGTGTACAGGGACCCCTGGAAAACTGCTCTTATCACAGTCCCGCAAGGCCTCCCCTTCCATATCACTTGTCACGGTTACAATCCCAGGTTTGTGTGATGTTCGTCTCTGCACTGGAACGGAAGCTCCATGGGGGTGGGACTTCGCCAGACCTTAGTCCACATAATGGATTCAGTTCCCAGCAGAGTAAACATCCACATATTTGCTGAGGAATAAATGAAGGAAATGCTGAGTACAGCACCTGGCCCAGTGTTAGGCCTCAATAAATACTAACTTTTAAATAATAATGCCAACTGATAAGTGAAAAAATTAATATCCACTTTCCCCAGTGGTTCTCAACGGGGAGTCTTTGTGCCCCGCAGAGACTGTTGGCAATGTCTGGACAGGGCAGGGGGTGGTGGAGAGCCCTGCTGGCATCTGGTGGGTAGAGGCCAGGAGGCTGCTGAACATCCTACACTGCACAAGACTGCTTCCCACAACACAGAACTAGCCAGCACAAAATGTCAACAGTACCAAGGTTGAGAAACCCTGCACTTCACCTTCTGTCATTTTTCCCTGATTGTTGAATTCACCAGCTGAGTTAGAGCAGGCAAATCTGGCTTAAGGAAATCATTCTTGCCTCTTGTCCTGTCCGTTCCTATAGGTACAAGGCCATTCTTGCCCTTCTTTCTGTTCCCCAAACCCTGTTGGCCTAGCTGGACAGGCTCACTACTCCTCATCCTCGTGCCAGGGGTGAGGCTGAAGTGCGGGAATGTGGGTGAGGCTGAAGAAAAGCACACAATGCAAGGCATCTCCCATCTTGTTCAATCTCCTGTGTCACATTATTCCTATGTTCCACAGAACTTTCACAGAAGCCAAATGCAAGCACCCCTACTCAGCTTTCAGGAAAGAGCTCTGCTTTGAATATTAGGCTTCAAAAACTCATGTAACCAAAAAATAGGCCAGGGGCCAACATGTCTAAGACAGAGTTTGCTCTAAGATGCAAGAAAATCTGCTCCAACAATAAACACTGTGCTCAAATATTATCAGAGGTGAAGTCATGGGGATGAATTAGATGACCCGAGAACAAAAGTGAGATAATGAAACAAAGTTTTTCTGAACTGGCGACCCAGATAATGTCAAATGCACCAGTACACACAAGTGCTAGAGGTTAATATAAATTTTAAAACTTAATAGCCAATTGCATAAAATGACATGCTCACAGTGGTTAAAAGTATGTCAAAGAGAAAAGAAAAGTGCCGGGCTGGAGAGGATATGGAGAAACTGAACCCCTTGCATGCTGTTGGCTGGAAGGCACAATGTTTTAGCCACTGTACAGAACCTTTGGCAGCTCCTCAAAAAGCAAAACATAAACTCACCATATAACCCAGCAATTATGTTAACACCAGTATAAACTAGATATACACCCAAAAGAATTAAAAACAGACAGATAAGAACATGCACATACATATTCCCAAGAGCCAAAATGTCGAAATAGCCCAAATGTTCATCAACAGATGAAAAGATTAAGTAGTTTGGTATATCCATACAATGGAATATTATTCAGCCATAAAGAGGAAAAAGTATTGACACGCACTACAGCATGAATGGACCTCTAAAAACAGCACGCTATGTGAAAGAAGGTCACATAACATAATTCCATTTATATAAAATATTCAGAATAGATAGATCCATAGAGACAAAATGCGGGCAAGTTGTTGCCAGGGGCTGTGGGAAAGGCAACATGCAGAGAAATGTAGAAAAACTGTTGAATGGGTAAGAAGTTTTACCCATTAATACAGATTACCATCTCATTTAAATTAAGATGGAAATGTTTTGGAATTAGATAGATGTCCAACACTGTAAGTGTACCAAACGCTACTTACTGTTCACTTTAAAACACCTGAGGTTATGTTATACAAATTCATCTCAATATATTACTTTTGAAAGCATGCCAAAATGACACAAAATTAACAAACACTGAAAGAGAAAATACCTCAAAATGGAAATGGATGCAGTAGCCTGAGCGTTTATAAGAGATTCATTTTTGCAATCTTTTTAAAGCATACATATCAGTTACAAAGACTTTGGAAAACATACAACAGCACTAAAAAGAACACTAAAAGAAGGCACTAACAATAATATTTCTAGTCTTTCAAAATATTCATTAATGCCAGTGTTGAAATACCTTTGCAATTGAAAGCAAGAAAGAAAGAAAGAAAGAAAGACCAAGACCCTGTACATTAAGATAGACCCCCCTAGCTGAACACTTATTTCTGCCAAAGCTTTTATTGTAAGCTTGTTTTGCTCTACAGGCAGAAGGGAAGCTGAGGGACCAAGTGTTGCCAAGGAAGCAGGTAAGTCTGTGACTTTTTGGCTAAAGCCTCTCTACTATCCTTCCATCCATCCCAGACCAGTGTGCCTGGCTCTCATCAGGCTGGTAAATATTGGTCTCCGTGGGAGAAAGACCTCCCTCTGCATGTCTGTGCCATTCACCCTCCATGAAAGAGACTAGAATGTCTACTCCTCTAACCTGCATAGCTTCTTCCCTGCCCACAACAAGAGGTCTTCATTAATTATTACACAATTAAGCTCTGGAAGTAGAGAGATGGGGGTTAACACCCTTGACTCCACTAGAAAAATGACTTCCAAAAGTGATGATGTCTCATCTCCCATTCTTCTAAGCTTTTTTGAGCATGAACATGAATAAAATGAAAAGGAACAAAAAACAGGAGCAGAAATTTGGGGCTTGGCTCGGTGCAGAACGCATATGTTACCAGTGAATCAGCCACTATCAAGGGCCCATGTTGTAACCAGCACTGGGGTGGTACGTCCCTAAAAAAAGACTCACAGGCACAATCTTAATTTGCAGATCCAGACATTCTGGTTTTGAATATTCACTCATACCTTAATCCATCAGTGGCCTCTCTCTCAATCCAATTTTATCACCAAAACTTCCAGTTTCAATCTCTCTCTTCTTCTTTCAACAGCTGTTCCTCCTGTTCTCACAGCAAGACTGCCTTCAGCAAGTCACCTCCTCCTGATTAAAAAGACCAGATAATAAAGATGTGTAAATATCCTAAAGAGATTCCCTCCCTAAGGAAACCGGTAGGTCCAAAAGAGCACCCCCCCTAAAAATGGTAAAGGAAATAAAAATAGGAACTGTCAGAATCATCAATGTTGAGAACAAAGGGAAGCAGATTTTCCCAGTATGGGATTGCCTCCCTGGCACGGGAAGTCTACCCCAGGGATGATGGATGGGGCTGATTCCTCTCCATTTCCATCTCCATGCAAGGAACTTAGCATTAATAGTTTCCCCCAAACAGCTGCTTGAGAAAACATGACCACAAGCAGTTGGACAGTAGAAGCCTCCCCAGCTGGCCCTGCCTCTGCTGCTTGTGGCGCATGATGTACAGAGACAGAACCCACAGCAGGGTCCCCCGGAGTAACACAGTCAAGCGGATGAGAGGACACATGATGGTTTCGTCAATTTATCAATGTTTTCTCGCTCTGTCTTGTCTTGGCATACAGACAGGAGATCTCAATAGAAGCCTGAAAAAAAAAAAAGAAGAAGAAGTGAATTATGCTCATCTTTTACCAAGCAAAACACTTCAGGTTTTTTTCACACTTGACGGTTTATGTCTCAATCCAAAACCTGCCCTGGTCAAGATTTCGAGCCTAGTTGCTGAGATTGAGGCCTGATTTTACTCTGGGCTTTAGGGAATGGGCTATGGGGTCCAAGTGAAGACTCTGCAGAGATGAAATCTCAGGTCTTCAAAAAGGTACATTTCCAAATAAACCAAAGTAGCGGCCAGATGGGAGGCACTCATACCCCCAGGCTCTGAGAAAACAGAAAAGTCAAGATGCCCTCATGAGCAATTTAGTGTCATTGAATTTCTCCTGGGACACTCTGTCCTGCCTGTAAATATTACCAAATCCAATTCTAGGTGGCTTCTGAAACAAGGCTAGTGGTCAGGATTTATTCAGGCCAACATCTGGAAACAGGCGTGCTCCACACAGTTGTAACTCTGTCTCGCCCCCATGCTCTCCCAGCCTGAAAACCTGCACAGCACAATAAGATGCCTTAAGACAGCATCACAGAAACGGACAATGGCTGGCAGCAATCACCTCCCAAACTTGCCAGACGTGGGTATTTTGTTAAGGTGGAAAGCATCTAATGGCCATGAATACTTCACTTAGGGCTTTTTTTTCTAATGCGTCGCAAGAAGTTCACTCTTCAGCACTGGACTCAACCAAGGACCCCATCTCAACCTTCTGACCCACTTCTCGAGGAATTTCATCCAAATCTTTCAGTAAGCCTTCCCCCATGTGCTCTGTGTTGCAACTTGGCAAAAACTTTGCACCCTTCTCTTAGGACATTTTTGTCCTGATTTTGTCGAGGGAGACGCTCAAGACTCTAGGGAGGTTGACAGCCAGTTGCCAAGACTGTTTTAGAGTCCTAAATCAAGCACAAGCTAGACTTCCAGACCTCTACCCCCAGGCGCATCCCACACAGACACAGAAGGAGCAGCTGATTCCCCTGAGGAGGGGACCAGGGATTGAGATGTCTCCCCTTTTCGTTGGTGTTAGTTCTTGAGTTTCCCCTTAGAGTTACTCCTTGGAAGACTTTCTTATACACATAAAGACCAATAATACCACAGTGTTTTAGGGTGTCCTGATCAGGAAGAAGTGACATTCTACATTGGCTAATATGTTGATAAATATGCACATATCTGGACAACCCAGTATCACCCACAAAGAGAACGAGACCCCGGTCGGGTAACTTTGGAGAAATAAGCTAAAAAGGAAAGGAGAAGGGGTTGTCTAGGACCAGAAAACATGAAATAATAAAGGTGGGAGTGACGGGATGGGAGGAAGGGGATGAGGGCAGTAGATGCTTGGCTGGCTTGAAATGGAGCAGGAGGAGCAGAGAATATGAAAACAAGACTTGGCCGAATTGACCAATCTGCCAGGGGCCAGCATTGCCTTTACCAGCACATAGGGAGGAAACATCAGTGGAAGGGTCCTGTGACTGGTTGGAGGTTAACGGCTTTGCTACCCTGCCCTCACTGGCCCTACTCCTAAGGGAACAATGGGCTCTCAAAGAGTTGTAAAGATTGGTTTGAATGTTAGCAGCAGAAAAGATCGGGGGAAACATATAGGAAAGGGCCAGAAGTTTTCCAGGTTGGGAGGAATGAAATGGATCAGATTTCCCATTGGGTGACCATGCGCAGGCCCATCTCCCAGGGAGGTAGGTGAGCCCGCACAGCTCACGCTGTGACCAAGCCTCTCCAAGTGCCTCTCCAAGCCTGCCCGGGATCTCTGATCTTCCAGGGAAAGATCATGGGAGGAAAAGCTGGTGACGGGAGATGGCCCTATCCTGTTCTCCGTGGGAGAAATGTGTTCATCACTGTCATATCACCTCTTCTCATTTCTCATTCTCTCTCCCCACACCTCCTCTAAACTCCTTCTAGGACTGCCAAGGTGACACAGTTAAAAGATATGGTTTACTTCTCTGATAAAATATAACTATCAAGTGGTACACTGATAAATCTTACCTTAAAAAAAAAAAATCTAAATATTCCAAGCTGCCTGAGGGATACCCTCTATATATAAATCCTCACATTTTAGCTTCACAACTGGCCATGGTTTCAGCTTTATTTCCTGGGGTACCAAACCTTCATGCTGTGGCTGGCTGCTTTAGCTTCTTTCAGGATCCACCCTCAAGGGAAATGGTCTAAAGCTCTTGACCTTTTCTGACAACTTCTCCTCATCATCTTTCTTAGCATGAAAACTTAACTAGCCTGTGCTCCATGCCCTGAGGGTTTGCTCACGGCTGTCTATTCTGATAAACTAATCCATGCTGAGAGGAAATGGTTGCCTTGCAGAGGGTTGAGATAATCCAACGAGAGAAACCAATATATACAGGGAAAGCATGAATACTATGATCAAATATATATATATATATATACACATCATCAATGCATTAGTCCTCACAGGGAACAAACCAACATTTTTTTGTAGAGACTGTGAGAACATTCCTCTAAATGAGTGGTTCTGTTTGGGGGAACTTCAGACCACAGGGTAGGTTGGCATGGGAGAGGGGAAGAGAGGGAGACAGCAGCTTTTGGCTCTCCTCCATTCATATTTCACAAGCCAGTTGCCCACTCTTGTGCTTGCTGCCCATCCTATGCTCAATCCATATTTTGCTTCATTCATTTGCATCTGGAAAAAAACTTAGTTTGCTCTGTAGTTAATAAACTGTTTGAGGGACACAAGAGCAATAATGTAAAGTTAGTTCCCAAATACAGAAAATAGCATGCTTAGGGCCAAATATCTATTAAAATCTTCTGCAGTTGGCAAAGCACCATTATTTAGGGACTCATTCCCCTAGACAGGGGCAAAATTGCTTTCATTTGGGGGAGTCGCCTCTGTCACCTTGCAGCTCTGTGATATGGGACAAGTTGTTCAGCCTCTCTGAGCCTCAGGCACTCGATGTACAAAATGAGGATAAATACACCCATCTCATCTGCTTGTGAGGATACGATTTAATAGTTATATAGTATCGGGGCGCCTGGGTGGCTCAGTTGGTTAAGCGACTGCCTTCGGCTCAGGTCATGATCCTGGAGTCCCTGGATCAAGTCCCGCATCAGGCTCCCTGCTCAGCGGGGAGTCTGCTTCTCCCTCTGACCCTCCCCCCTCTCATGTGCTCTCTCTCTCAGTCTCTCTCTCTCAAATAAATAAATAAAATCTTTAAAAAAAAAATAGTTATATAGTATCTGCAAACCATATAACTTAAGCTTATTTTATAGTAAGCAAGTGAAAATAATAGCAACTTCAGCAGCTATGGCCAGGCATTTTGAGAGTGGAAATAGCCTTCAAAAGGGACTTGAAGGTAGCTGTGTAATATACCTATGAGTCAAGAGCTGTAGAAACCATCTGGGTTTGAAAATTTCACAGTGCCCTTCAAGACAACTGGTAAACCCTCCAAGTGTCTCAATCTCAAGGACAGGAATTTCTGCCCCAGAGATAGATATTACCTGTCTCTGGCAGCTTCAGAGACAGAACGCAGGGCCTGCCCACCCCTGCGAGACTTCTCCCTCCTGCCAAGCCAAGGGCATACCCATTCCCTGTCCTTTTCCTGACCTCACCCTTTTCCTCCCCCCCCCCACCCCTCCCACTACCACTCCCCTCCCCGCTGTGAAAGCCTGCGAGAGTCTGCCTAATCTCAACTCAGGGAGTGCTCTTCCCTTTTAAAATGCCTTGCCCAGCTTAATCAGTAACCACGAGCCCTCCGGTGCCAGCTAGTCGCCGCCTGCTCTGACGTGAGCTCCGGCTCCTGCTAGCCAGCAGATGTGACTTTTTCAGGATTCAATCCCCAACCTTCACCCTTCTGCCCACAACAGCCTCCCTCTCTGAAGGTTACCTGTCACCAGCATTCTTGCTCATGAATGCAAAGTTGAGTGGGTGCCTGCCCTGACCTTGAAGAAGCACATCGTTTAATACAGGATTCCTAAAAAAAAGAACATTTGACATTTGCCATGGGACGTGTGTCAGGACAGAGAAGAGAAAGCCCCACGTGGCAGGGTACCCTCTCAGGTTCAGGGATGTGGCTTGTGAATGGCACTTGTCAACTAAACCTTGCAATGATATTCAGCAGGCATGATGTGGAGAACATGTTAATGAAATCCTGCCTAACACCAGGAACACGTTTGAATAGAATTGAAGTCATATGTGGGATTCTTTTCTCATATACTAAGTCTTCTCTGCATACGTTAAGCTTTCGCCAGCTTTGAAAAAGCACAAAACTAAGATGATTCATTCATTCAATCACACTTTGTCTTGTTTGTTTGTTTGATAAATTGGACATGTTGCATTCAATCATTCTTCAAGCATTTATTGAGTACCCATTATGTACCAGACCCTGTACCTAGCACTAGGATAAAAAATCGAATGAGGCATAGATTATTTTAGGCAAATACTCTATTATTTAACATTTTATGCTGAGAACCTAACTTCTCAGTGTGTTAAAAACAAAGCAAAGCGACTACAAGCATTTCTGGACATTGGCTTCATTTGGAAACAGACAAAGAGAAAGGAAGGGCAAATACAAATAGAGTTTTAAATTAGCACGGGCATGCTGCAGACTTGTGAACATTTTTCAAAGGAGGAAAAGCATGTCGGGTTATGGGAAAGAGAGGATCCACAGCCAGAATGGGTAGGATGATCTTGGGCAGTCTTTCAGAAGGAGAGTGCCCAGACTTGCCACTGTTTGTGAAATAGTCTTTCAAGCGAAAAGGGCCTGCAATGGCCAGCCCTTCTTGTTCATTTTCTGCCCTACTGCCTGACACACTGATAGTGAACTCTGGCTGAGCCATGCTCCGTCGATAGCAGTGCGAGGCACCATTTAGCAGAAGCTTCCTGATGCAGAGCTTTTAGAGAATTCAAGGATTCACTCTGTCATCATCATCAGGAGTGCATGTTTCCATTGCTGAGTCAAAAGATCTAAATTGGAGCTGGACCAGAAACAAACGGTGAGTCAAATGAAAGAC